CTCAGTATCAATATGTGTATGTGTATCAGTATGTGTATTAATATTCGTATCAAATTAATATTAGTATCAGTATCAATACCAATATCAGTATTATTATCATTATTAGTATTAGTATTAGTATTCAAATTCATATTAGTCTTGGCCTATTAGCATTAACATTAGCATTAGCATTAGTATTAGTATTAGTTTTCTTATTAGTATTGGCGTATTAGTTTAAACATTAAATATTCATATTAGAAGTGGCGTATTATTATTAATATTAGTGTTGATATTAATATTAGTATTAGACTATTAGTATTAATCATCGTATTAATATTAAAATTAGTATTAATATTAGTATTATTAGTGTTGATTTTAGTATTAATATTAGTATTGGTATTAGTATTATCAATGTTGGTTTTAGTATTAGTAGTAGTAGTTGTTAGTGGAATATTAGTGTTAATATTAGGATGGATAGGCAATGTACGCCGCAATGTCCAGAGATAAAAGTAGATTTGAGATAAAAAATAATTATCAACTCAAAATCGGGCGATATAACTAAAATTACGAGCAATGTTGTGTGACAAAAGATTTTCAGCGAATATGAAGGTAAATCACAAACAAATGAATATTTTGTATTATTTACATGTATGTCAACTGTTCAAAGTTTTCGTTCGTTTTATTTTATCCAAAATATTTTTTTTGAAAAAATTGATCTCGTGCATCGCACGGGTGAATTACTAGTCATCAATAAATAAGAAGATTGTGTACGAATATTCTTCTCACAATTAATTACCAATTAATGGCTACAATTATTTCGTAGGAATAGGAAAATAATTATATTATGTGATTGATTAATCATGGATAAAAGTTTCAAATCTAAATAAATGCCGCTAATAATAAATGTTGATAGTATATATAGTAGAAATTTCAATTATTTGAGTTTCATTTGTGTAGTTATTTAGATCCAAGCATTGGGTTTTCAAATTGGGCTTAGAGCAATGGAATGATATCTCCGGCCCACATTGAAATGATATTTGACATAAATGCCCCTAGGGATGGCAAAAAAATCCGAACTGCTAGCTATCCGCGGGTATCTGCTCCGTTCAAAACCCGTTACCGTAACCATTAGGGTTTAGTAAAGGTTTTGGTAAAAGAAAAGAAAACCGTCATGGTTTTGGTATGGTTCTGGTTTTACCTTTACGGTGGTACCCGACCATTTAATATATATATATAAATATATATATATATATATATATATATATATATATATAATTCAACAATATGAATAAAAAAAATAGTTTTACGAAATTTTAAATAAAGTATTAAATAATTTAGGGAGGATATGTTTGTATAATTTAATTTTTTTTTCTTTTTTTCTTCCTCTGTTCTGAGAGTTACTTAAACGTTGTCGGACCTAAAGTTATTTTTTATTACCATAATTTAAATGGTAAATGGGTACCCGGATATTCATGGTAATGGTTATGGTATTTCCATTAAATTTTTAAAAATGTTTGGTATGGTCATGGTTTGAGCTATATTAAATGGTAATGGTTCTGGTATTGCACTTTTTCGAGGGTACCCGCCCCGCTGCCATCCCTAAATGCCCCTAGCTCCACCACTTGCGGTGGTGGTTGTGACGGGGATAATGGTGGTGGCTAGCGGTGGGGTTGGTCTCACTCGACTTTGCTCTTCCACTCGCTTCATCTTGATCCTACTATTTTGGCAATTAAAATCGGATAATAATTTAACAAATCGGTAATTAGGATGAAGAAAATTTGTGGTAAAAGTCGGAAATTTTCACATCAGAATTGACGGAATTCAGAAAATTTCATCCCAATTTCCACCTCTATTACTAATAAGGGTAAATTACGGGCACCCCTTGAGGTAATGTCAAATTACGAAAAAACCCCTCATGTTTGGGTAATTACAACCACTCCTCAACTATGAATCTTCTTACACGTCCACCCTTATAGTGTAAACTATGAATCTTCTTACACGTCCACCCTTATAGTGTAAAATTGAACATAATCTTCTACATTTTTTATGTGGAATATTCTCTAATTAGTACTCGTTTTGTGCAAAAAAAAAAAAAAAAAAAACAATTTCAGATGCACCACAATATGATATTTACAAGCCAAGAGACGCATCTTATAATCATTTCGTTTTAAAATGTGGAGCTGAAATAAGGTGAAACGGGTACTAAACGGAGAATATTCCACATAATCTAGAAGGTTCCACTAAATTTGACAATGTAAGGATAGACGTGTAAGAAAATTCATAGTTAAGGATAATGGTTGCAAACTTGCAATTACCCAAAAATGAATGGTTTTTTTGTAATTTGACATTTACTCGTGGGTTGCCATAATTTATCCTATATATAATGACAGAAATATAGCAAAATCAGGGAGAGAAAAAACAGCTCTTACAGAACAGTGCACAATTTAATTTGCACAAACCAATCTAATTTAATTTAATTTGCATAAACCGATTATCTTCTAGAAGAAGCACAACGATCATCGAAAACGAACAATGTCTCGCTACATCTACTCTTAAAAACCCACAATTTTCATTCCTAGAAGAAACATTAGAACCCGAAAAAAAAAAATTGTGTTAGCAGCAATTTCGATGATATATTTACAGTAAATATATATATAGCTACAAAAGACGACTTAAAAAAAAAAAAAGGCTTCTTACAAAAAAAAGTAACCGATGCGCAGTGTAATAATAAAATCACACATTTGGAAAATCATGTCTTGTGGAATCAACTTGAACATGGAGCTGAGATGGCGACGAAGATGTTCGATTGTGGGACCTACCTTTGAGGGAATCTTCTGCTTGAGAAGCTAAGTATTCGAGCGCCATAACAATATCACTAATTAGGGGTCTAAAGCTTGCTTGTTCTTGAAGGCACATTGAAGTTATTGCAATTGCATGGTGTAGGCTTCGTATCGAGAATCGACCTTCTAGAAGCGGGTCCACCATTTGCACAAATTTCCTTCGGTCCTTCAAAAACGGACGAGACTGCAAAAAATATCATCATAATAAATTAATAAATAAATAAATAAATAATTTTCTAGTGTTCGAAGCAAATGTTCATATTGTGTGGAAAATAAATATGCTGGTAACATGTATGAGAATATTTTCTAAATCAATTTCGTGTTGGGGAAGAATAAACGACCCTCCAATTCCAATTCCGAGTTCGAAAAAATCGGAAATTGGGAATTCACCCCCATTTCGGAAATTTCAGATTTTCGGAAATTACGTCACCTCTATATTTTCAGAAATCGAAAAAAAAAATTCTAATTTTCTTGAAAAAATACTTCAACCAACACATTCGAAACTTTGATGCAACTTCTTTCGGAAAAATCGGATATTCGAAAGAAATTTCGTACTCCAACACCCAAAAAACTCGGATCGAAATCAGCTGAATTCAGAAATTATATTCCGATTTTCCACCCCCGACCACAGAGATTGCCAATACACCACAAATCTAATTAAGTCTTACCAAACAAATTATTATCACATTTTTCATAAACTAAAATTCAAGAAAATATATATATATATATATATATATATATATATATATATATATATATATATATATATATATACTCACCCAAACAACAAGATTCTGCTCTCCCGGAATTTGAGTGCAGTCAATAGCTTTTCGTCCGGTAATCAATTCCAACATAACAACACCGAAGCTATATATATCGGATTTCAGAGTCAATTTGCCGCTCATTGCATATTCCGGTGCACAATAGCCGTAAGTACCCATTACACGTGTCGAAACGTGAGTGTTATCACCGACGGGCCCCAGTTTGGCCAGCCCGAAATCAGACAGCTTCACATTGAAGTCATTGTCCAATAATATGTTCGACGATTTCAAGTCTCGATAAATGACGGGTGGATTTGCTCTGCAGTGCAGATATTCGAGCCCACGAGCTGCACCCACAGCTATCTTCAGTCTAGTGCTCCAACTCAGCGGCTTATTGCCAGCCTGTAAATCTACAAATAAAAAAATAAAAAAAGAAATTACTCGTGTTTGTTGAAATGTATTTGACCGAAATATAGAAACAATGCTAAAATAATATGTAAGGTAAAAAAAATTCATTTTCAGTTTGTTTGGAAACAAGGATATGACTTTGATAGACTATATAATCATACGCAATCAAGATGTATCAAATGTTTGTGGTTTAGGTTTCAAGCCCGTGATTAGAAACGGGCCCGGAACATAACCTAGCGTATGAATTATAGAATTATAAACCAAAAACATAAGGGAACCATATATTACACTGTCATGGATAATATAATCCTATTTGATTATCAATGTTTGTGGTTTAGGTTTCAAGCCCGTGATTAGAAACGGGCCCGGAACATAACCAAGCGTATGAATTATAGAATTATAAACCACAAACATAGGAGAACCCATATAATACATTATCATCGACAATATAATCTTATCCAAATTCAATCAATCTTAAGAGTTCTATCAATATTCCCAAACGAGGCATTAGTGTATAATATTACATCCTCGTTTGGTTGCCAAGATAGGATTAGCCAAGTTAACTCAATTGTATGATTGCCAAATCCAATACACAATTCTACAATAAACCAAGATTATAGCTACTTTTTCCCACAATTGCGGCCCGGATTTTAAATTCATCGGCTAATCAAACATCGAATAAGGTCCAATTACTAAATTAATCATGACTAATCTGTCTAAACAAGTGCTTCATCGCTTCCAAAAGGACAACAATCATGAAAATGAAATGGACAAAGAAGAGCTAAAAAAGTTGATTGATTAAAACTCGTTTCTTTTCCCCACAATTGCAGCCCGGCCCGTAAAGTTATTGGAATAACCAAACATCAAATAACATCCAACTATTTAATTAATCATGACTAAAATGTCTAAAAAAGTGCTTCGTAATGCAAAAGAAATAGACAAAGAAGAGCCTAAAAAGTCGATCGATTCGCTATTGTCTACTAAGGGTGAAAACGAGAAAGCGTTGAAACATTGAAAAAATAATCGAAGAGCCAATAGTTAATATAAATAACAATTTAAACCAAAGAATTGAAAAAAAATAAAATAAAAAAATCATTGATTACCAAAAAGATGATTTTCGAGACTACCCATCGGCATAAACTCGTAAACGAGGAGCCTTTGATCACCATCGGTACAATAACCGATTAAATTCACAAGATTCGGGTGGTGCAATAAACTCAGCATAAGAACCTCAACAATGAATTCTTGATTCCCTTGATGCCCTTCTAGGTTAAGTTGCTTCACTGCAACAACCTTATTACAACATAAATAAATAAATTCGCATTAATATAAAATTAAATAAAAAAAATCGGAAAACAAAAAAAGGCCAAAAGCTTCTTATAATTTTACCAAGCCGGATTCTAGGCGGCCCCTATAAACACTTCCGAAACCGCCCTCGCCGACTAAATTAGATTCTCGGAAATTCTGCGTAGCCATTGCAAGGTCCTTGAATGTGAAACTACGAGCCGCATTGCCCTTTTGTGAATTGCTCTCTTTGCCTTTCGATCTCACGGAAAATCCCTTTTTCGCATTCGCTATCGTATTTTCAATTACATAAAAAACCGAAACAAAATATATATATATACACACATCAATGTCTATGTGTTGCACAGTCGAAAAATGAATATAAATTCCGTATCGAAACATCGATTTGAAGAACAAATAAGCATCAAACCAACAAGTTAAATAACTTAAAAAATTAAAATTAAAAAAAAAATAAAAAATGAACCTGAAGTATGAATGGATCTTGGAGCTACATCTTCATCACAATCTCTCACATCCTTAGTCCGAGGTTTCATGCAAGAAAAGCACCCCATCTCTTTCCTCAAACACCCCACCCACCCCCCAACCCCCACCCCCACCCCCACCCCCTTTTTTTTTTTTTTTTTTTTTTTTGCAGATTAAAATTTGCCCTCACAAAATTCAACTCAACTATTACAATTTACACACTCAAAACTCCAATTACACTTCTAAACAGATCTGTGGAGAAATTAAACGATTACCCACAAAACCCAAAAATCAAAAGAGTGCAACTTTCAAGATTTAATTTTTAATTAAATAAGAAAAATAAATATTAAAAACAAATAAAGAAAGGCCAGAAGAATCAAACCAAGAAAGAAGATTTCTTTTTTTTCAAATTTCCACACAGCCCTTTTGTCAACGGTAATCTCTGCCCTTTATTCTTCCTTCATTCTCGATAAAAATGAAATCTTTTTCTTTCTCACGAAGTGTTAGTGTGTGTATTTTAGTGTGTGTGTGGGTGGGCCTTTTGGGAAAAGCAGAGCAATAAAAGCAGTGAGATGAGGGGATTCAGGTCACTCTCATTCATCACAGCTAGCATTTAAACGTTTTGGTAAGCATGGGCTGTGAAAGTACTAAAATACCCTCGGCTGTTAGTGTATTTTACTGATTAATCATTTTTTAATACTCAATTAGTGGGAAATTCAGACAATGAGTGAGACAAAAAAGGGGGAACTAGATTTGGATTTCACATGGGGATTAGTGCCATGGAAATTAATTTTCTTTATATATTAGATTTTGAGGTCAAATTTTTTTATTATTTTATTATTTGTTTTGGGGTGGGTCTAACTTTTTTTTTCTTTTTTTTTTTTTGAAATCAAGAATTGCGTTTTGGTGATCTATAGCGCTTATAAAGTATGAAAATTTAAATATTTAGGAGTTATAAATGCATTTATGGAGGTAATATTTTATTGATGCAATTACTTTTTAGGAATATTAATATTGTAAACTTTCAAAAAAAAAAAAAAAGGTACCCTCTTTAATTCAAAAAAAATAATTTGTATATGTCTTCAAACTTTTTCTGGTAAAATCGTAAATAGATACAACCAATTGTTTCATCGGGTACATAATCACCATTGATTTACAGAACTATGCACACATCCCCTGTTAGTGATATACTCGATGTAAACTTCGTCGACTGTAGTATATAACTCACCTTATAATCAACAAGTATTCGTAATTCAGGCATTATAACAATACAACATGACTCCTACAATTTTACTATGTTGTTTATGGATTGGGTCAGTCGATTATCTGCTACACCTGACTAACCGAGTTTAAATAAAACTAATATCACCATCGACCCCATTTTATTGAATGCAATCATTCAACCACGCATGGGATGTCGGTTGCTAGTATTTTTTACCATCTCTTTTATATTTATAAATTTAAAATATATATATATATATATTACTAGTTTCATTAAATGAATTATTTAGTGCATTCAATACATATAATAGACAATTTATGTAATATATTTATAAAAAGTCAGTTGTTCGAGTATTATCATAACAGACTTTTCAAGGTTTTAGCAACTAGCCCAACTGTTCATGTGTTGTGTTGATTTTCGGTCCAACTTTAATGAGTCGTATATATGATAATTAATTATTGGCTAAAATTTTACATTTAAAATTAACCCATGAATATATCTAATTTTTAACAATTGTTCCTTTTTTTTATTTAAATTAAGTTTTTGAAATATGATATAATACACTAACAAAGATGTTAAATTGGGAAAACCTAGTCATTCATATTTCTTCCTAACTAAAAAAAGCTAAACAATAAAATAATTGGGAGTTAGGGAGAAATACTCCAAAGTAATTGAAAAGTCTTTATCAAAGAAAGTGACTTACCCCCAATTATTGGGTTTTGACAATTGTGTGATGATAAATTGCCAGACACTATTTCTTATTTGGGGATTCATTTTTTTTATTGGCAAATAAACAATAATTTAATTTAATACTCATTTAGTCAAATATTTTGTTGAAAATATACAAACTAATGTAGCTAGACTTCACATTTTTTTTCTTCAAGATCATGAATGTAATTGTAATTAATTTAAAAATATTTTAATTTTACGTAATTGTTTGAAAAGAGTATAGAGTACGAAATCGTTAGAGATTTACTTACGTTGGACTTTTACTTATTTCATTTTAATTGTTTTAGATTAGGGAAGATGATCGATGTTTCGAGAGAAGTGTCTAAAAGATCTCGGAAGAGGCCGTCCGCCGTCTGAAGAGAGTTCAGCCTTGGAGTGAGTTCAAGAAGTGCAGATTGAGTGAACTGCAGTGAAGAAGACAAGAAGTTCAAGTAGGGTACAAGAACGACGTATTACATAAAGAAGAAGTCTTTATTTTATTTTTAATAAATATATATATTGTACGCATAAGACTGAAAAAAAAAAACTTATTTTCATGTCCCTGTAGATGTAGACCACGCTTGTGTCCGAACCACATT